GAGAGTGAAAACAACAACAACAGCAAAGCCCCAGGTATTTGAGTTGAATAATTAAAATCCTCAAACCAAAACATGTGTCCTCACAATCCAGAATCCAGTCTGATTGGCTCACAAATCCAGCCCCAAAGAACGTGCTCCTGTGCCAGCCTTCTCCAGTTCAGGCCACAGGACCACGGTCCCCAAAGCTGTTTCCACCAGAACCCTGGGAGAGGTTCCTGGCACCACCTTCTTCCTCAGTCCCCACAGCCAACCCATTACCCAGGGTTGAGGAGTCCCTGGGTGGCGCAAATGGTTAAGCGCTCCACTACTAGCCAAAAGGAGGCACCTCGGAAGACAGGCCTGATGATCTGCTTCCAAAACATCACAACCTTCCACAGTTTCCACCATACTAAGCTCAGAACAACTAGATAGTGCCCGGTTACCGCCACAAACTGCTCTGTCAGGGATCACAATAGAAGGTCCTGGACAGAGTGGGAGAAAAAGGTAGAACAAAATTCAGGTTCACACACGCACACACAAAAAGACCAGGCTTGCTGGTCTGATGGAGACTAGAGGAATCCTGAGACTATGGCCCCCTGGACACCCTTTTAACTCAGTACTGAACTCACCCTTCATAGTTCAATCATGTACACGAGACTAAAGGGCACACCAGCTCCAAAGCAAAGACAAGAAGGCAGGAAAACTGGATGATTGGAAACTGGGAACCCGGGGTGGAGAAGGGGAGAGTGTTGACACATCACGGGGTTGGCAACCAACGTCACAGAACAATTTGTGTATTAACTGTTTAATGAGAAATTAATTTCCTCTGTAAACGTTCACCTTTTAGGTGAAATAAACACAATAAACAAACAAAACAACCAAAAAGTTACACCCTTGAAAACCCTATGGAACGGTTCTACTCTGCACACATGGGGACACAACCCAGTGTTGTTGGTTCTTTGGCCAAAAGATTCTGGAAATCCATCTCTGCTTCTTTCCACCCTAGTCCAGGCAGCCTCTCTCCTCGATTACAATGGCTTTCTACCTGCTTGAGTCATTTCCAAACTGTTCTCCTTCCATACATTCTCCAAGGGTGATCCTTTTGTAAACTGGATATGCCACACCCCTAAGGGACTTCCAATTGCCATCAGAAATATCACCCCCTCTTTCTCATTACAAGGTCTGGCTCAAACTCACATCTCCCATCTTATCTCCCACCGCTCTCCGCAGAGCTCACGACCCTCACCCACTGGCTGCATTTCTCATCCTTCAGTGCACCCATTTCCTGCCCCAGGGGCTTAGCTCACCTTGTTCAGCCTGCCTGATAGCTCTTCTTTAGCCCTTTGTCTGGCTGGCCTCTTTTCATATTTCAGGTCCAGTTTAAACTCATTTCCTTGGGGAGGCCTTTCCCACCCAATCTAAATCCCCACCTGTCCTTATACCTCGGTCCTTGTTCTTTTCCTTTGATTGTAATTATACACCTACTTAACTGTCTGTTTAAAACCTGTTTCCCCCACTCGATTTTCAGTTTGTTTTGTTCCCCAGGATACACCCTGACACATAAAACAACATAGTATATGTTTGCTGATTACATGAAACCAGGCTTGTGCAACCTTGTTGGTGTTATTTAATCTTAAATCCCCATAGGAAAGTAACTACATTTCACTTGATCTGGTGAACCCTCTGAAACATCATCTCCTGGAATACGATGAGATGAGGATGAAGATCCAAATTAAAAATCCCGAATTTAATGCTATGTTACTTACTAGTCTGAGCTTTGTGGGGAATATAAAAGAATAAAACATCTGCTCCCAGAGAACGTGCAGTCTCGCTAGAAGATAGATATATACCTGAAATGTCTGGAGAGTCGGTTAAAGATAAATGTGTCCAAATATCAAAATGATGGCACAGACCATCAGTATCCTCAAATTAAAGGTCAAGACAAACGAGCAGTGAGAGCTGGAGCAGGTGAAAAGTTCACGAAGGAGGGGACCGGAACAAACTGAACCACAGAGGGATTACGGTTCACAGGGGAAGCGAGGAGCATCACAGTGCAGGACCAGAGTGAGCAAATGCACCATGGAGTGGACAAAACACAACCTGCTAAGGGGCAAACGCTGAAATCATAACGCTGCCACCCTGTCTTTCATGTTACAATATATAGGGACAAGCAGACAGACGAGCTCCATATGGAAGACCATCAGGACTTTTTGGTTTTGTTTTTTAACACTGAAATATGTAAACAGCAACAAAATAGTCTTTGTGTTTTCAAACAACAATTAAAAAAATCAAATGTACAAATATGATCTTGGCCAAGAATTTTCCTTCTTATATTGTTAGCAATAAGAAGAAACCTTTAATGTTCAGATTAAAGGCATAAGGAACCAAGAAAGAAAAATAAACAAACCCTGGGTAGAAATGCATGGAAGAGAATCAACTATTTGCAACGGGGAAAGTGGGCCCAAAGGTGTGATTTTGAAAGGTGCATCTGGAAGAATACCAGCAGAGGATGATGGCGTTATATAAGGACCTTCCAAAATAGAGTTGCACTTCTACGTCTTTTACAGGGTAGCTTTGGTACTGAAAAACTATATATTTTGGTAAACAATTTCCAGTTAACAGATCTATTAGCTCATGTTCAGAATACACAGCTGTCTCATTTCTGGTTTATAAGAACACTCCGAGAAGGTAAGAGAAACGCTTGCCTCTTCATTCAAGTCAGCATCAATGCGTTTTGTGTACAACACGTGTTTTCAGAGGGCTTCTATTCTCACTACTCACTCTTGCCTTTCATTGCGTCTTTTCTCTCAGGCGCACGTGTCTCCGGAACACTGTGATGGGGAGCATAAGTCAGCAGTATCTAGTTCTATTTTAAGCTCAGGGAGGAGCACATGTAATAGAGTGGGAGCAAGGAGAAAAAAATAAATGAAATATCTTCTGCAGTATAGCTAGGTGTTCTCGGTACTGCATTTTAAGTAAACCTGTCATTAGGCTACAAAACTCCATTCTGAAGAGATTCCCCTGAAGCAGTAAAGAGAAGACCTTGCAAGTGTCTGTATGGACAGAGGGTTGGCCATGGGCTGTGTCCACAGGCTTTCTTTGTTAAGTACAACAAAACAGAAACAAACAATGGTTTATTTGACCTGGAAGATGAGGGGATGGAGGTAATCTAATTACTCTGAGGCCATAATTACCCAGGTGCTTCAAGCAAAAACGCTTATTTTTTTCCTAACCGTAGCAGGCCACCACAAGTAGAGCAGGGGCTGAGAAATGAATTACTCCTACTACCCATCGCTCTGAGCCCACCCGAGACCTCGCAGACGGGGAGGGCTTGTACTGGCTGAGCCTACCAAGAAATGACCTTCATTTGTCAGCATGAAGCCAAGAGATGCCTGGCTTCCTACGTGTCTGCAGAGTGGTGGAAGGCAGGTCCGAGCGTCTGTCTCCAGTAGATTCTCCTTCAGCCAGAACAAACAAGAGACTCTCTGTGGTGGGCTCTAAGAACCTAAAGTAATGAACCCAAAGCAGGTGAAGGGCAGTCAAGTCTGTCCTGGGAAGGGCCTGTCCCCTGGCTCCGAGAGCTCTGCCAGCAGTGATTTCAGGCACAAGAAACATCAAGCCACGCGTTTCCCTTCTGGAATTGTCAGAAGCCAAGAGATCTGAAAACAACTGCTAACTGTTTAGGAGCTCAATTTTTCCTAAGGTGGGCACCTAAGGACTCTGAGTCCCAGCACTTAACTAAACACTGGACTTTCTGCCACATTCTAAATTATGCCCTGACTGGGATTTCCTGAGGGTTCTGCCTCACAGAACATCTTACAGGAGAACTTGTGAAGGTGAAATCTGACCCTTTTGAGCCCTCACAGGCTGCACACAGATGTGTTAGACAGGTCAGCAGCTGGAGCCAGTTCTTTGATAAAGACTCCTTGTGGGCAACCAGCATAAAGAAGCTGAAGCATGACAGGACCCAGAACTAAGAAGGGACTCCCACTGTCCATTAACCAAACACCAGTGATGTGGAGTCGACTCTGACGCATGGCGACCCCATGTGTGTCAGAGTAGAGCTGTGCTCCATAGGGTTTTCAATGGCTGATTTTTCAGAATTAGATTGCCAGGTGTTTCTCCCGAGGAGACCCTGGGTGGACTCAAACCACCAACTTTTCAGTTAGTAGCTGAGCATGTTAACCATTTGTACCACCCAGGGACTCCCACCGTCCATTAAAAACCCATTGCTGTTGAGTCGATTCCAACTCATAGTGACCCTAGAAGACAGAGTAGAACTAACCCATAGGGTTTCCAAGGAGTGGGTGGCGGATTTGAACTGCCGACCTTTAGGTTAGCAGCCGTAGCTTTTAACCACTGCACCAGCAGGGCGCCAAACCCGTTGCCGTCCAGTTGATTCCACCTCATAGCAACCCTATAAACCAAAACCATATCTGTTGCCATTGAGTCAATTCCAACTCACAGTGACTCTATAGGTTACCAAAAATGACAAAATCTTTACAAATGGACTCTCTACAAATGGACTCTCCACCCAATTTCCAATTTCAGAACACATGAGACGGAGATGCTATTTTTTGTTGACAATTCATCAGGCAGAAGAAATTACTAAAAAGTTCTCTTATTTTGTTTGCCTAGAGTCATTCAGTTTAAGGGTGACTTCAGTTTTCTATACTTTATCACTGATTATTTTATTTATCCTCTCCTCAACATATAACATGAACTGTTATAGAATGCATAACTTTTAACTAAAATAGATTTTATTTTGCAACAGGGTTACTTCATTGTATTTCACAACACCTAAAATCAACTAGCTGGTGCACAGAGTTACGGACATTGAGAACAGCAAGGCACAACAGAGGTCAGCATTCGTAAAGTACTTAGCTGTGGATTTTATATCCATCGTATCAGATACATTCACTTTGAGAACAGGTTCTATTTCAGAGCTCTACGGTTTTATCCTTGAATTTCCAGAATGTAAAAATACACACCAAGCTGAAAGCACAATTTCAGGTACTTACTGATTCCTTGAAAGAGCTCCTCGATATTGATAGCATTCTTTGCGCTTGTCTCCACCACAATGGCTCCTATGGATTCCGCGTACTCCTTAGCGTCCTTCAAGGGAACCTCTCTGAAAAAGATGTCAAACCCATACAGAGATGAATGCTCGTTTGACAAATACAAATACCAAAAGCAAACTAATAAAAAGTCTCTGGGCAAACAGCTCCTTTATTGCTCCCATAAAATAATAAGGACTTACTCACTCAGCAAGTACTGAAAACCTAGAACAGGTGAGGCATTTTAGAGTTCGAGACCTCCATGGAAACAAGATGTACATATATAGAACAGTGTCCCTGGGCCCACAGAAGGAGGGATTCCAGAACAGGAGGAAAAATGATGATGAGTATGGCATTACATACTCCAGGTTTCATAGTTCGGGCTGATTTCAAATATTTTTTTTTCCTAATGATGACTCAGTTTTTAAAAAACTGTTTTGTGTGTGTTCTTTTGCAAGACTTTTAATATATCATTTTCACATATCAGAGGCAATATTTAGACAGACTATGCAACGTGACTTGGAGGTCTGGAAGTGAACGTGGTTGCAGCTACGAGGGCTACGATGCAGTGTGGCACACCAGACCTTTCACCTTTAACACCTTGTTCTTGTGGAGGTTTTAGGACATGAACTCTATTTAAATGAACAGTCTAAAAATATTTATTCATAAATGTTCAATGTGAAGATGCTGTGGTGGATCCAAAGACCAAAAAGACACAGTTCCTATTCTATGAGAGTTTACTCATTTATTCAAGTATCTACTGAGCAGCTATTGCATGCCAGTCCCTCTTGTAGGTACTAGGGAAAACAAGGGTCCCTGTATTCTGGAACCTACATTTCAGAGCAAAGACAAACACACCCATGGTCATTCTTATCCAAATACTGCAACACCTGCAATATGTGAACAATAAAGGGCTTCAGGAGTACCAAAACCAAACCCGTTGCTGTCGAGTGGATTCCGGCTCACAGTGATCCTACAGGACAAAGTAGAACTGCCCCCTAGGGTTTCCAAGGAGCAGCTGGTGGGTTCAAACAGCCAAAAGTGAAGCATTTTGACCAATGGGACTCAGGAAGACACCTGGAGGAGGAAAACTCAAGTGTGCCATGCAGGAAAGATGGACCAGGGACAAGAGTCTGTGATGGAAGGGCGTTCAACACTCAGAAACCGCCTGAGCAGAGGCTTTTATTCCCAGAGGGTATTAAAAGTTGATTCTGCACCAGACACTGCCTCGGGTATGATGGGTGGATGTGAAAATGAATGTGACGGTGTCTGAATGAAGGAAAGGTCGGCTTGGAGCTTAGAGAGGCAGGGTCTGCAGGAATAGCAAGAAGTGGCGGGACACACACAAAGCCTGTCTTGTACCCAGTGGTCACTGAAGAATAGGAGAGTGACAGGGTCAGCTCCACATTCTAGGAAGACACTTTGCACAAAATGGACTAGAAACGGGTAGGGGTGAAAAAGAAAGGAAGTTGGAAGCTCTTCTAATGCTACGGGAAAGAGATAACAAAATCCTGGAGCAGAAGGATAAAAACAAAAACAAAACAAACAAACCCATCGCTGTGGAGTCAATTCTGACTCATGGTAACCCCATGGGTTTGAGCAAAACTGTAATCCATAAGGATTTCTTTACAGAAGCAGATCATCAGGCCTTTCTTCTGCAGCACTGCTGGGTAGGCTCGAACCACCACCCTTTTAGGTTAGTAGTCAAGCACAAACCCGGAGTTCCTCACCAGGACAGCTGTGGGAAAAGAAAAAGCGTGGATACAAAATGAAAAGTGGGAAGAGGGAGTGAAGAGATTCCTTCTCCTTCAAATGCCTCATAAATGTTCTAACTGATTTAGACAGTTTCTGGAGGGAGTCTACCTTGGCATTCAAATTCTTTAGGGACCCCTGATCCTATGAGAGGGGGACTTTTCGGGAACTAGCTGGAAAAGGGTCTAAAAAGAGTGGACCATATTAAAGGTAATTGTCTCAGGGTTAAAACCAGAGAATGTAAGTCTTCTAAGATGTGTCAATTGGAATCTGTACTTGCATTGCCGTTCTTACTGAAGGCACACTAGGAAAAACTATGGTCCTAAATCTACCCTCTTTATTGTTTCTAACATACAAGCCTCTCACAGGGGTTATTCTTAGTTTTTTTGGTGGCAATAAGTTTCACATTTGAAACATTCCTGTGAAGGGCCTTGTATTTGATTTGGCTTGGGGTGCGACCTTACTTTCTATTCCTCCCAGGCAGTCCTTATCAAGCCATAAATTAGAAGAGCCGGGCTCATGTTTGCCCAAATGCAGGACCGATAAGATTGGTGCTAGCCTGCTAATCTCTGCTGGGTGGGGGAGTGTCTGGCAATCAAGGAAGCTGCGGAGTCCTCAGAGGAGAGAAAATCACAGGTACCCCCTCTCGTCAGCCCAAGGATGGAACGAGGAAGAGCAGAACGTGTTTTATCAGGATTAAAGTGGGGACAAAAGAGTCACTTGAGACACAATCCAAAATGTCCATCCTGGGGAAAACAGTCAGCAGAAAGGGGATAATTATTATAGTCATTAAAATGGAAAGTGTCCCGCAGACTTCTTCCACGTTTATAAAGGAGTCACACTAAAGGGCTTGCCTGTGATGAGCCAGCTCATCAGAGGCAGAGGCAGGTCTGACCTCAGCCCAGCGGGTCTGCCCACGCTGCCCGCGGGCACCAACAACACAACGACCCCGTCTGGCCCCAGAGGTCGCTCTTCCAAACGCCAGAGACAAAGAAGACCGAGGTTCAGAAAATTCTCAAGTTGTCAAGCCCACTGGAGTCAAGGGTGGAGTGGGGGAGGGGAAGAAATGTGAAACATATCCCCCCCGCCCCTTCCTAGGTGCCAGATGTGACAGAAAGCACAGGTCCCTACTCTGAGAGTCTACAGGAGGAGGGCCAGCCCTCCAACATTAACTGAGACCAGAAGGACCAACCACTCTTGGGTCCACCAAGACACGCTTGTCTCACAATCTGAAAGAAGGGCCTGTGGAAGGGGAGGATTGGCTTTCTGGAAAAGCTGTCTTGACATCTGGGGACTCCTCTAGTCACAGGTCTGTGGGGGGTGCCCTCCACAGACCACGAGGCTGAAGGCTGACATCACTGGCCTTGGGTAATTACAACTTCGTGAGACTATGGCATCCAGTGACTGTCCTTCATTTTATCAAGCGTTTATCGAGGGCCTGCTATAAGCTGGGCATTGTGCTAGGCGTTGAAATAGGTAAACTGAAACCAGTTCACCCAAGTCAAGGCATAAACACACAGCTAGTCAATTTTGACGGAAAGACCATTTTTAGACTTTCTAGACCAAGTTACACAGAGAACGGCAGGGCTCCCGGAAATCACCCAGATGACTGCCCACTAACTGGGTCCCTTCTCCCCTCAGGCTGCTCTTCACTCTCCCTGCCAGGAGCTCGTTTCTGCCTGACCCGTAACTGTCAGCATTACCAGGGGGTTCTTCCTTAATTATCTGGAGTAAAAGCAACGAGCCAGCAGTGAGGGCAGGCTGCGGACAGGATGGGGGCTAGACACAGAACCACAGCTGACTCCCCCTTGAGCCAGCTGGAGGTACAGGGGGCTGGAGAAGTGGGAGAGCTGAGGCCTAAGGGGAGACTGCGGTCCTGAAACCAGGGACACACGGAGTTCAAGGGACCACAGAAGAGATCCCAGCCACGGTCAGCGTCAACAGCTGAGTGAACAGCGGATGAAAGCAGAGCCGGTCAGGACTGAGGACGGGGCTCCCTCCACAGCAAAGCACCTCTGTGGGCTTGCATGGTGCAGTCAGAGGCTAAAGGGCCAGAGATGCTACCCCACCTCCTCCCTCTCTGGACAAAGCGCCCTCCTGAGCTGGCTGACTGCTGTCACTCCGCTGAAGAGCAACTGCGATTCACCAGTGTGACTTGTCCAAAGCCTTTCACCCACAAATCTGCCCTCTTCCCACAAACCTGCTCCTTCCCAAGCCTGATAGCCCTGAGTCACTCTCTCACCTTCAAAGCTGAGTACTAAAGCCCACCGATTCTCTGCCCTCCGCCTGCCTGCCTCTACCTTATTTCCAGCTACTGCAGTGGCCTCTTCTAGCCTCCTACAATCCATTATCCACATGCCCACTGTAGTGATCTTTCAAAACTGCAAATCTATCAAGTATTCCCACGAACGAAATGTTTCAATGCCTTCTGATGGCCTCAGGATAAAACGTTCTGGCCTGGGAGCCGCTCTCTCTCACACGCCATGTCCCACAGCCTCCTGGACAGCGGATGGTACCTCCCTCTGCATATGTCCACACGGCCTGGAGAAGACGCTCCTCTCTCTGTTTCCATAACGGCTGGTGCCCTACTGCCGACAAGTTGATCCCGAGTTACAGCGACCCTATAGGACAGAGTAAAACTGCCTCCAAGGGTTTCTAAGGCTATAAATCTTTACAGAAGCAGACTGCCACATCTTTCTCCTGCGGAGCGACTGGTGGGTTCCAACTGTCAACCTTTCAGTTTGCAGCTGAGTGCTTTAACCACTGCACCACCAGGGCTCCTTAACAGCCGGTGCACACTTCCATTATAACACCAGCATCCCTGTGAAGGAGTTCCTGGGTGATGCAAATGGTTAACCTGCTCGGCTGCTAACTAGAAGGTTGGATGTTGGAGCCTACCCAGAGGCACCTCAGAAGAAAGGCCTGGTGATCTACTTCCAAAAAACCAGCCATTGAAAACCCTGTGGCGCACACATGACACACATACAGTTGCCATGAGTCAGAACTGATTCAATTTATCATTGTGAAACTGTCTCTCTAAATAGGCTGTGGGTTTCTTAAGATCAAGACCATGGTCTTCACTTCTGGATCCCAACAGTGCCTGGCACACAGCCAGCAATCAGCAGATACTTGTTGAACGACTGAATGACAGAATCACCCCCAGACGTCCAGCACGAGGGAGGAGGGTAGAGGAGGGGTCCTGTCAACCGCTCAGGAAGTGTGCTGGTGTTGGCAAGTCTATGGGAAAAGTCCCCGGGGGCGGAGGCTCATCCTCCCTCCCACATAGGGCAGGAAGGAGGCTGGTGGGGGGACACCAAGGGGA